TATTTTATGAATATTCAAGAACATTAAAACCTTTTGCAATTTGATATACCTAAATAGCAATTTTCTTTGAAAAATTCGGAACCGTTTTTACGAAATTGGCGTTTAAGCGCTACTGAAAATGCAAAAATCCAAGCTCTTTTTTACAGGCAACTGTTGAGTTTTTTAAAAACTTCATTTGAAGAAATTAAGCGTTTAAGCGCTATTGTAAATGCGAAAATCGAAGCTCTTTTTTACAGGCAACTATTGAGTTTTAAAAAACTTCATTTGAAGAAAAACTCATAAATGCAATAGTGTTTAAAAATTGCTGGAAATGTGCTTATTAACGGCGTAAGAAGTATTAAAATATTTATGTTATTTTTTAAACAAAACAATACAGAAAAAATAATTTTATGTCACCTTTAACAGTGCAATTAGCACTATTCATATAAATAGTTTAAAGAAAAAATGTTGAGCCTTTCTTGAGAAAATGACATTTGATCGTTTCTGAAATGCATAATTTTGAGCTCGTTTTCTCAGAAAACTTTGCAGTTTTGAGAAACTTAATAGGGCATAAATTACAGTACATGTACTCGTAACTGCAATAAAGTGAAGAAATCCCTGCTAATGTAAATATTAACAACATGAGAGGCTAGCAGGGGCGGATCCAGACACGAATTTTTGGAGGGGATATTCGAAATGTTTTCGTTAAATATGTATATTACCGAGTTTGTAAAAGCTGATGCAGGCTGCAGTCAGCTCATGCACGATACAATTTTATTCGTTTTAATGATAATCCGAAAATATTGTTTGAAAGTTATAATTAATAGTTACTGAACAATTTTAGGGGAGGAAATTTCCCTCATCCCCCCCTCTTGGATCGGCGCCTGGGCTAGTCAAAAATTTCAATTTTTGTAATTTTTGAAAAATTAAAAGGATAAAGCAGAATGAATTTTATGTCATCTCATAGAGTACAATTATCACTATATCTTCCAAAAGAAAGAAACAATTTGGAGCCGTTTTTGAGAAAATGGTGTTTGTGTGTTTTCTGAAAATGCGGCGAAAAGCTCATTTCCACAGAAAACTTATGACTGACACACACCAACTTATGAGTAATATTCTTTCAATATTCCACTGATAAATGGCTGTCGTGTTTTTTTCAATCTTCTCAAAACAAACATATTGTTTAATAACAACATTCTTGTCGTGGTAACCAATTTTAGCCCCAAAACCCTGGAGAATTCCCTTAGCGAGCAAATACAAATAATGTACATTTGAGGTAATATGTACAATAATTCGAGAAAAGGATGTACAACAAAATATTTAGAAAACTTTTCAATTGACACGATTGTTTTTTTGTTTTTATGCAATAGATACTTTTTATTCTGTGTGTGAATAAAAAAAATACCTACATTTTTTAGCATTATTTTTTCGGGCCCCAAATATCTTAGCCTAAATCAAGCTTTCAGAATATCGGAGAAAAATAAACTCATTTCCATTGAGGTGAATTTCGACAATTTTTTGAAATTTGCATTAGTTCATATTTGCATTAGGGGCAATTTCTTCACATTATTGCACTTAAGAATTCACGTGCTTTAAATGATTTTGTTATAAAATTTTCGAAAACCGATCAATTTTCTGTGAAAATGAGCTCAAAATTCTACATTTCCAGAAATGCTCAAACGCAATTTTCTCAAAACCGGTTCTAATTTTTTCTTCAAACTTTTCGTGTGGATAGTGCTGGTTGCACTCTCTAAGATGCCGTAAAATTAACTTTGCTGTATTTTTTGTTTTTTCAAAAATCACACAAATGTCATGTTTTTGCAATGCTTCTCACGCCTTTAACATACCCATTTCTAGCAATTTGTGTACATCACTGCATTTGTGAGAAAAATGCTTTTAATTACTTTTAATAAAGTTTTTCGAAAACTCAAAACGTTCCTGTAAAAAATAGCTTCAAATTTCGCATTTACAAAAACTCTTAAACGGCATTTTCTTAAAACATCTCAAAAGTTTTCAACGGAAATTTCTATATAAGACGAGATTTTACTCTTCTTTAATATTATTAAATTAGTATTTCAGTTCGGCCATTACGAAACAGAATTGAGATTTATTTTTTAAATAATGTACTTTCGGCGGCGATAGGTGTTAGCTTGCAAGAATATGTGGCCAAAGATGTAGCTCAGGCCAAAGTCAGAAAACTATTTCAAGAAAGTCTGTGCTCTACTGTAGCACCACTTGTTACTTTTTACTTTCTCGTCCTTAAGAAGTTACTTCTTAAGAAGAGAAAGTTATGTAATGCTACGGGATAAAACGGCGAATTTCCGGAAGAAAAACTTAAATTATTTGATCTTGGTAACAAAAAAGTGGATAAATCCAGTTGCTAAAATTAGAAAAAAATTCTCTAACACAGTGTAGACACAGTCTATGTTTTGTGGGTATTTGAAAAATCGATTGATGGCACAGTGATCGTCTGTCTCTCCGTCCGCCCGTCTGTCCTCTGAACAACGCTAGCGGTTAAACAGTTCAGCCTATTTTCTTCAGAATTGATATTTCCCGATTGATCTGGCTGATGTCACGGCACCTGGAATTTGAAACCGATATTTTAATTTTGGGGTTTCCTTTACTTGACGCCCCTGGACCATTTTCAAAAGTTTCAAAAAAGTGGCTGCATCTGTTTTTGACTAAGTAAAAGAGGTTTTTCTTTAGGCGAATGGAAACTTCTCTCAGAAAAACGAGGCGTTTTCAGACTCACAACACGGTTTTAGAAAATAAAAATCTACGGAAACTGCCATTTCTTCTTTTCATTTTTTTTTCAAAAATAAATATTAAATTTAGTTCATTATGTTACGCATCAGAATTCTTTCAAATACTGTTAACCTTCATACAGCTTGTTGCGTGTATTTTGCAAATGTGCATTTCTGCCTGGGATATGGCATAATATTCTGGAGAAGCTTATCATGTAGTACTCAGACATTTAGAATGAATATATATGTATACAATACTACAGATTCGTAAATAAATAGGTAAGTATCAAGTATGTGTCAGTATCAACACTACCAGAAATTCACATCACTCGTACGTGTACGTCACTTTACAACGCTTTGACCAACACCACCTAGTATCTAGGTGGTGTTCCTTTGACAGAGGACATTAAACAATTGAAGTCGGCACACAAATTTAAGTTAAATGTAAAATCTTTCCAGCTTTCAAAAATCTTTCCAGCTAACAAAAGAGTGATATGTAATGAATTAGTTTACATTTATATTGTTTAATTTAAAAAAAGACTTCATATGCTTGTAACAAATAATGTACTTCAGCTTCCGGGTCGATGACCCCCATCTCGATCAGGTTTTTGTAGCTTCACAATGCGCACGTTTCATTGAACTCTCCTTTTGCTTGTAGTGGTAGGAGTAGAGGTAAGGGCAAGTTACTATTTTGTTAGCAATGCAGAAAAATCAAATCTGCAGTTCGCTTACCGTTGCAAATATGTTTTCTGCAACTCAGAAACGAAAGTGTCTAGTTTTTCAAAAGTTGCTAATCTCGCGTTTTTTAAATTTTATTTTTATTTATTCATCTTTAACTTTTTACCCATCTTTCAACTATTTATAGTTAAAGTGACGGGAAGGTATTCTGGAACTCAAGAAAACATACAGTTACATATTACGTTAAATGTGAATATAAATGTGGATAAATATTTATCGTTTAATTTTTAAAAAATATTTGTAATAAGATTTATAGTGTATTTATTTATTTGTTTATTTATTTATTTATTTATTTATTTATTTATTTATTTATTTATTTATTTATTTATTTATTCATTTATATGTATGTTCGTTCATTCACTGATTAATAAACAGATCTCATTATTGATGATAAAATAGTAAATCAATATCATCTTGTATTAACATAGTTCAGAATACGGAAATACAAAGAAGATGTATGTGTGAGTTAGAAAATATATCAATATCAAGTCTTTTAAGCTATTAAAACATTCACAAAATTGCAGAATTCAAAAAGTAAGAATTGGTGCAAAATTTGATATTAAGTGCATGTATTATTTAGTGTATGTATTATTAAGTATATGTATTTTAGTAATGTCACATTCAAAGCAACTTCTGTAATTAATTCAGCACAGCAAAAATGTTGTTATGAAAGCTATCAAACAAAAAGGTTACATCTTTTACTTATCAAAATTACAATAAAGTGAGGATATTAACAGTAGCACCAATAACAAAGTAAATATGTTAAGAAATATCATATAAATTAATATTTTCTGCTTGCATTCTAAAGAAATGTTCCTAAATAGTTTCATATCAATTAAGCCAGCTTTGAGTGTGAGAATATCAAACAGTAGAGGCATAATAAAGTAATATTGGTTGAACATGAGTTAAATACACCAGTCTCACAAAATACAAAAGTTAAATAAATTTAAATAGTTTAGTTTAATGCAATACCACAAGTTTTATTAATTTGTGAAAACATTTATATTTCAGTTTTAAGAGAATTTTATGTTCACATTTAAAATAATATAAAGTGTAACTGGCATGTTAACAAGTTAAATTAAAATTTTGTTTTCTTGAAAAAACTTGTTTTGCCTTCCAATGCTACTTTATTTTCCAAACGTTCAATTAGTATTTTAAATCACTACTATGTACTTTTGTTATTAATTTGTGCATTTTATTAAAACTGATAACAGTCTGTATAGAAAAGAATAATTTTCCAAAAACAAATTGATGAAAAGTGGAAGACTAACGGTTCATTAACTAAAATAGTTAACTAAAAAATACTTGATTTAAACCACAATTTAAATAAATTATTTAAAACAATGTCACCACAAAAAAAAATCTTTTTCATTCAAATTATTCGATGAAATCTTTCACATTTCACATCATTTTATTAAGGTGTCACCTGCATTTTATACGAGTCAGAATTAAATTTTTTTGCCATTAAAATGTATAATGAATAATTAATGAATACTTTCTTTAATGAAATGGATTCCCTTATATTTAGTACTTTGAAACATCTTCTACAATGCCAAAAATATATATTGTTTTTTGTTTGTTTGTTTTTTTGTAGCAGAAACTACCTTTCCAGGAATATGGACTTTTTAGGAATATTTTGGAACTTTAAACAAGAAACAATTCTTCTCTCAATAACAGTAATATTTTTATTATATATTTATGCCACACGTAACTTTAAATATTGGAGTGAGAGAGGAATTCCATACTTCAGACCTATTCCCTTTGTTGGTAATTTGAAGGAAGTAGTGACTTTTCAAAGAAACATTGGATTTCATTTAAAGCATATTTATGAGAGGTAAGAATGAAAGGAAGAGTGCTTTTTTCTCCAAGGTTTGATATGATTGTTTGATAATCATGCAAACATTTCCTTTTAATTTTTTTAAAGACATATTTTTCCTGACATATTTTTTTAAGTAAGTTTTTAACATAAGACAGTATTAAATGTTGTTCTTTCCCCAAAGTGTTAAAGGTCAGCCGTTTAAAGGATTCTTTATCTATGATCAACCAGCACTCATGATTACAGATTTAGATTTATTGAAAATGATATTTCAAAAAGATTTTCAATATTTTGTTGATAAAGGCATTTCCATAACAAAACATGATAGACTGCTGGGAGATGCTCTATTTAATTTAAAAGGTAAGTATTTTGTACATAAAGCTTCTTCACAGAATGGAAATTGGTATGGAAGAAACTGATATAATTGTGGTATATCATTCACTGTTGGATTAAATTTGTATTGTGAAATCATTCATTGCATGTTCAACAATTATATTTTAGGGCAGTTATGGAAGGAGAAAAGAACAAAACTTTCTCCTGCATTTTCAACAAGTAAATTGAAAAATATGTATGAGCTTGTGGATGAGAAAGCAAATACTCTTATTGACTATTTAAGTGATTTTGGCAGACTTGGTAAGATAATTCTATGAACATTATTATATTCATGATCTCCAGTTGTCACATGTACATGATTTTTACCCTTTCCGCAGAACAACCAATATTTGTTAAGGATCTTCTTGGAAGATATGGAACAGACATTGTTGCTTCTTTGGCATTTGGAATTGAATGTAATTCTGTTCATGACCCTCATGCTGATTTTCGAGAAAATCTCAAGTACTCCTTTCTGTTCTCCAAAATAGGAGCACTAAAGGTAGAAGTGATAAAATATTATCCCCACCAATACAAAAAGATGCCATTAAGCATGTATTTGCATATAAACTGATTTTTTTCTTCTTCTTTTCAGTTCATTGGGGCCTTTGTGGATTTACCATTATTAAAACTGTGGCCTGTAAAAACTACTTCAAAGAAAGTTGAGAAATATTTTCAAAAATCGGTTTGGAATGTTGTCAAGCAAAGGCAGAACCCAGAACAACAATTAATGAGAAATGACTATTTGGAGAGTCTTATTCGTTTAGCTGATCAATTCAGCAATTCAAAAGAACATATAGAAGAAAATTTAAAAATAGGTATATTGTCAAATCTTTTGCATTATGTAACATTGCTAGGTTTTGTTGCCAGATTTAATGATATAACATAAAAATCACATTTCAGACATTGTTTCACAAGCCTACACATTTTTGGCAGCAGGCTTTGAGACTACATCATCAACGATTTTATTCACATTATACCATTTAGCAATGAAAAATGAGGTACAAAATAAATTACGGCATGAAATTCAAGAGGCTGTAGAAGCAAATGATGGGAAGTTATCTTACGAGGTTATTCATTCTCTACGTTATTTAGACATGGTTGTTTCAGGTAAAAAGATAGCAATATAAATATATTTTTCAAACTATTTTAAAAATGTTTTTGAAATTAAGTGAATTTTTTATGTTTAATTTATTTTAGAAACTTTGCGTTTGTATCCTACAATGCCAATTCTGGATAGAACATGTACTAAACCATTCCAAATTCCTGGAACAAATTTTGTTGTGGATAAAGGAGTACATATATTTACAAGTTTACTTGGTATTCAGAGAGATCCAGATTTATATCCTGATCCTGAAAATTTTAACCCAGAACGATTTTCAGAGGAGAATAAAAGAAATAGACATAAATTTGCATACATGCCTTTTGGAGAAGGGCCAAGAATTTGTATAGGTTTGTTTCAAAGAATTATACAAGAATTATACATGGATTCCCCATTTTCAATTAATAAACCATTATTTTTCAGGGAAGAGGATGGCACTCATGGTAGCCAAGAATGCCATATCCCGAATCTTGCTGAACTATGAAGTGCTGCCTAGCAAACACACACCAAGCAAACTGGAATTTGATGTTCGCACTTTTCTGCTCACAACAAGTCATGAAATACCACTGGTTTTTAAAAATCTGAAATAAGAAGAATTAATTGGAAAAGAAAAGAGTTAGAAAATATATACTTTATTTCAAGATAGTCATGTACACAGTCATGTATATAGTTATGAAAAAATAAAGTCTGCATTATCAAAAAAATTAAAATAAATATTTTGACTTCCATAGATATACATATTCACAAGCCATCAATATAAAAAGTAACAAAAAATTACAACGAGCAGCAGAAATTTTGTAGGAGAGTGTACATGGAAATTGTGTCCACCATTGTTTCTAGATTCTGGAAATGATAATAAGACATAAGAGTTAAAATAACACAAACAGTACAATTATTAATCAAATTTTTTGTATTTTGATTAATTAACATATGTGTTTTGATTGTAACATACTTCTGTCTGCAGGATCCCTTGATCCACAAGGTCTATATGGTAAGGTTGTTTTTCTCTTTAGAGGTGGAACATAGCCATGAATATATAAACTAGGAGTTGAAAGTACTCCTATATTTATGAGACGATTGAAATCCTGCTCCAACTGACTAGCAACAGGACCTGCAACGTTGAGCATTCTTTAAAATTATATTCAGTCATTAAAAATAAAGAGCAGTCTTATGCTAATGGTAGCCTACTGATTGTGTATGTTGGTGGCTGTTGAAGGGTAGTTCCCAAGGATTATTAAGGATAATCCACAGTTTTAAAAATAAGCTTATTTATTAATAACTTAAACAATTAATAAATTACAAAATAATCCAAAACTATCGATGTTCCCTGATCAGAGGCAGCCTTATCTTCATATTTACAAATGTCTTCAACAACAACAAATAATGCCAAATTAAACAATTACAATAATAAATAACTTTTATTGTTACTTATCTTTTAAGATGTTTTACCAGTTTATTTCTGTAAATGTGGTTTCTATGTATTCCAACTTACCTCATTTGATTATTATCAAGGATTTAGACAAATTTATAACTATTTCAAAGTATCATGAAATTCCTGATCAAATTCTGGTAATATGTGTAATTATATGCATAATATTGATTTTGAGTGTGTAACTTCCAAGAATGCAGGGAGTAAATTTGACAATCCATGGCAAAGGTCCAGAAGTCATTACTTTGCTTTGTTTTATGGAAAGACAATTCCAGGAACATTTATTTGAAAACCCATATTTGAAATATTCCATTTTGACATGTAAACACAATATTCAAATGTAATGAAACATATGAGAAATATGTAGTAATAGGTAAAATAAAAATGGTTTTAATGCTTTAAGAATATGATAAAACCAAAATAAAACATCTTTGGATGACATTGTCTTTATGAAAAGTAGGTTTAAGTTTCTGAATGAAAATTTTATAGAGTTGATACTGATGTGACCCAATCAAAGAAATGTACCAACCACACAATTTTACCTTTATCACTAGAAATTATATCAATATTATAAAAAACTGTACAAGATGTCATGACTGATCCAAGAGATTTTAAATTGATTTAAGAAAGACCTGAGGAGTTTTTTTACAGACGATGTCAACTTTCTTGCCTTTCAATTTCAATAACAACTCAGATACTGGTAACTACATATTTAATGACATGTAAACACTCATTACATGAACTTCTTTGTTTATCAACTTTCTAGATCAGTAACAATGGATAAGTCAGGGCAGAAACTGGAGAGTAATTATTACTGTGTGCTTATTGCTGTACTCCTGCAGTGTTTTTGTGCTATCTTAGAGTCATTCTGACGTAACTTTTGCAATTTTTTATTTACAACCACTACCAAAATCAGAGCTTATTTTTGCACCTTAGGAACAAACAAACATTGCTAGGTATGTTAATATAGAAATCAGGAATTGACTTATCTACAAAATTATGTAGTGAAAGGAACATAAAGGGTGTCTTATTTGCCTACCTCCAAATATTTTGGGTATGTGGTTATATCAATCTGCCTATAAGAGAGCAATGATTGTTGTTTGTGTTGTTTGATTACCTTTAAAATGCATTAAGAATTGCACACAACCTCCACCATGAAGTAGTTTAGTTTTACGACTATCCACGGAAAGCATCCATTCAGGAATTCCCATTACTTCTCGAACATCATCTATGAACTGTGCCCTGCAAAATAATCTCATTAAATACATGTGTACACCCACGCGCGCGCACACGCACGCACGCATGCCCACGCGTGTCTAAAACTAAGTAGTTTCTCACAAAATAACTGATTTGATGACACTGAGTCAATAATAAAACACAATTAGGGTTTTATTATTACTAAAGAAATGCATTCCCATACTAAGCCTATTTCTTAAAATTGTCTTCAATAAAATCCATATGTCTAAGGAAATAAAATGCAGAAATCATCATACATAACAAATTTGGGAGGTTTTCTCAAATTGGCATATTTGATAATATCATAATCTGGCTCAATGTTAGCACACGCAAACCGTTCATGTCCTCGGTCTTTATTTAAGATGACTATAGATCTTCCAAGAGCAGACACAGGTCCTTCTAAATAACAAATAAAAAAATTGTTTAATTAGAACTACAAATTACAAAATATTTAGTACTGATATTCAAATATGTTTGAAATTCTGAATATTGAAATTCAAATGAATTTTACATTCTTAATACTAACCAAGAGGAAAGTTTACATCAGAAAATACTTGTCTTTCCACTCCTATGTCAATAGTACCTAATCTTCCAGAAATATCTCCAACATAACAACGAAGAGGGTTGTCAGGACCACATTCTTCACGATACAGTTCATCCTGATGGTTAAAAATTACTATTAGTAAGTATAGACAAGTTATAAAACATTGAAAATAGAAAAGATATTTTTTTAAAAAACAAGCACCAAGACATTGTTTTAATTACATTACGTGGATCTGCAAGTTGTGTATAATATGGATTCCAGATATAACCTCCAGCAACACATCGAGTATTTAAAATTTTCACTGATGCATCAACACCCACGGGATTGACATAAATTGCCCAATTGTGATTCCTGGTCTAAAATTTAAAAAAAATCAATGAATATATAAATAGATCAGACCCAAAATAAATAAATAAGTAGAAAAAAAATAATAAGAAGAAAAGGAAGTACCTTGGAGGTAAAATCCTTTATGTTCACTTTCCTCAGTTTTGAGTAAATGAAAAGTAAAGACCTCTCTTAACCACTAAAATCTAAATTTACTTTCTCTCATAATGTAATGGTGAGATAAAATATACTTAATGGAGATCCTATCATTTACCACATAAATACTTATACAGAGGAAAATATTCAATAAGTCATGATCCAAAATTTAAAAAAAAAAAAAAAAAAAAAGCTTTATGACTCTTTACCTCTCAAGTACTTTGTGTCAATGTTCTTACCTTAAACCCTCTTTGTATTAAATTACTGTTACCTTCTCAATAATTTATCTATACTAACCACGTTACGATCATTTTTCCCAGGATGCCGTAAGTTTACTTCAAGAATTGTTTCACTAGCACTTCCATCATTATAAATTAACTGGGTCTGAAAAGAATTAGTCAGCACACTTGTTCAAAGAGAACATAATTAAATAAGAGCTTATTTTTTCAAAATATGGGGAAAATATTTTATCAAATATAAATCTAAATCAAATTAAAAGTAGAAATAGAATACCATTCGAATATATCCCCAAGCAAATCCTAGGGGATGGTGAAAAGATGCAATAGCACGCAATTCACGGGCTTCTGATGGAGCATAACCTCGCTCTATTGAAGAACAAGTCCATCTTTATAGGCCAAAAAACATTATTTTAAATTTTCATTAAGTTTTATAGTAAATTATTTTTCAGTAAATGTAAATAAAATTGATATACTCACCTCACATTTTTCTCTCTCTTGTGAATAACCACTGATCTACCAAGGATACTGGAAGGTCCAAACAGAGTGATGTCAGTGTCATTATATGCAGCAATTAAACTAGTCAGATTGTTCAATAAACCAAATTTTCCACTTAAATCTCCCATTTCATATTCATCATCACTCCCTTGAGTAGGTGGTGGGGATAATCTTGGAGAAACACCTTTGGGATTCCAATGTCCATATAGGGTTGAAGCTTCACATGGAAATTCTAAGTTTGCTTGCACAGGAGCCTGCAGAGAAATTATTTGTTTAAAATCTGATTATACTCTTACATAAAAAGAGAATATTCCAGGAAAAATCAATCACTTATTCAACTGACATCAAGCAAACCTTGATTTACAGAAGCTTATTTGCAAAAATCTGTTAACCTCACATTCAAATATTTTACATCCTGAAACTCAATTATTGTGTGAAAGAGTGAAGAAACTTCGTACTCTCATATAAGAATATAGCAGCTTCCATATATCGTTCCAACCGTTGTATGGCACCTCCTTAGTCTATGATATAACATCCAAATTAACATTGAATTGAGGTGTGTTATGTTTATTGGGGTTTAAGAAATAAGAGATCAGAGAAAGAGAGAGAGAGAGAGAAAGAGAGAGGAGAAGAGAAGAGAGAAAAGGAGAGAGAGGAGAGAAAGAAGAGGAAGAGAAAGGAAGAGAAGAGAGAAAGGAGAGAGATGAGAGAAAGAGAGAAAGAGGAAAGAGAGAGAGGGAGAGAAAGAGAAGAGAGAGGAAAGAAGATGAGAACGAGGGAGAGAAAGAGAGGAGAGAAAGAAGAGCAGAAAGAGAGAGGAAGAAAGAGATGAGAAGGATAAAGAGAGAGCGAAACGAGAGAGAGAGAAAGAGAAGAAGAGGAAAGGAGAGATAGAGAAAGACGCAGAGAAAGCGAGA